GCATCCGCGTTATGAAAGTGTACATAAACAATTTGTAAGTCAAATGCAAGTGTTGTTAAGTACCTAGAATTCAATAATAATTTGTTGTTTGTTGGTTTTAGATGTGTAGAAAGTGTTGTTTGAGCAAATGTTTGGTTTCTGCAGGTTAATCATGAAGTGAGCTGCGTGAAATTGATGTATGGGTGCATAAACAACTGTCTGGGTTACACTTTTTTTTATTGTTTAATTGATTCTTAAAAGTCTGATTTGTTTAATTGATGAGGACAAAATAAGAATTATTAGCAATTTTTGCTTGTTTAATTGATTTGTAAAAGTTGATTTGTTTAATATTGATGTGTAAATAATTCTTATTTGTGCTTGTTTAATTGATTGAAATGTAAAAGTTGATTTCAATCTGCATCATATTGAAGGTAAAAGACCTGTTGAAGGTACAATTTCGCAACGCTAAACTCAAAATCGCAATACGAAAGCCAAAATCGCAACGCGAAAGTCAATTCGCGTTGCGATAGCCTAATACGCTTTGCGATTTTCTCGTTGCGATAGTCAAATACCTGTTGCGATAATCAAATTCACGTTGCGATAGTCAAATTCTCGTTGCGATACTCAAATTCGCGTTGCAATTTTCGCGTTGCGATAGTCAAATTCGCGTTGCGATATTCAAATGAATGTGTAATAAGTGATAACAACTAAACATATCATAGCAATGTTCAAACTCAAGTTACTAATACATGCCTAACTGAAAATGTTAAAAGTTTACACATAAAATACACATAATACAACGTTTGCATTTAAAAATCACTTAAGTTAATAGTCCCAAAAGGTGAAGCAGGTTGTGATTGGGATTTTGATTTTGATTGCGATTTTGATTGCCTTTTTCTTGACACCATATGAGCTTTTGATTTTGATAAGGATCCATATTTTGGTAGAGGAAAAGATGATTGTGATGGCACTGGTGATCCACATGTCAACCTTGTATGACCACTTTCCTTGCACCGACTATATGTCGATCTCTTCTTCTTTTCACCCTTAGACGGTATACGATCGTGACTTTTTGGTCGGCCAGGTAGCCTTCTGTCCATGGCTGGTGGCAAAACTGTTTGTAAGTCATCTGATATGTCCCACTCAGAAGGACGTGGAATAGGGTAGATAATCTCGGCATAAGTCTGTCGATATTCTTCTGTAATGTAGCAATCCATAGCGTATGCGCTTGAATCATCTTGGTTTAGATGAAGAGCAACTTTTATAACATGGCCACACGGATAACCAGATGTTTTCCATTTCATACAACTACACGTCTTTGCATTTAGATCGACAAGCCCATTTAAGTTATTATCAAGTACTTCAAACAAAGTGTTTGAACATGGTTCAACTCTCCATGACGTTGACTTCACAACACGTTTCGTTATCTTTTTTCAGTCCATGGTGTAACACGATGTTTCAATGTTCCTGTAAATTTAAATAAATAATACTTAGTAAAATATATGATAAGTTACGAATTTAAAGAAATAATAATTGCATGGTTTCTTTTCTTGTAGTACCACTGTTGAATAGAGGCTCCAAAAAACTCCATTAACATAGTAATGAGTAATTTTCGGGAATGACGACTTAGAGCGTTGATTGATTCTGCACTATTAGACGTCATGAAACCATATCTTGCTCCAAGTTGATGTACTCTTGACCATCTTTCAAACCCGACATCTTCTAGTGTTTGAGTACACTGAGGCAAAAAACGTCTTAAACAATTTATATGCTTATTAAAATCCACTTCCCGATAAGCTTTTACAGCCTTCCAGTATATCCATTTGTGATTTTTTATACCAGCAGACCTTGATTTTAGATTTCTATACAAATGAACACCACAAAGTCCATGAAAAGCATCTGGGAAACACCTTCTAACAACGTTGTCAATTGAGCTTGCCCTATTGGATATGACTGTCATACTGCTAATAGGACCTATGCAATCCCTAAGATGCCCCATAAACCATGTCCATGAATCAGAGGTTTCAGATTTGCCAACCCCGTAAGCTATTGGCAGTATCCCATTGTTAGAATCCATGACTACTGCTAATAAGTTTACTCCAAGGTATCGACCTTTTAAATGTGCTCCGTCAACTATAATAACTGGGCGCATGCAAGTAATAAACGAACGAATCTACAAAATCAGATACACAAGAAATATAATCATTTAAATGTGAAATGCATATAACTAACAAAAATGAGTCAACAAAATTATATTGATTTACTAACCGCAGCACCAATGGCGATAAACAGCAACTCAAAGCATCCATCTCTATATGTTTTGATATGAGTTACCGACCCAGGATTTTTCAGCTTTAAATTGTGACAATAAGCCGGCAGTTGGGAAAACGATGCTTTCGGTCCAAGGCATAACATTTGGCTCTCTAAGTTTGAGAATATGAGATACTAATCTTGAACCGAGCATTCATGTCAGTCATAATTTTATGTCTCCGATATACCCTGCCATTCAAAAACATTAACTCAGCTAGAAAACCACCCAACACCTTTTTGTTTGCATGTCTATGGTGAGGAAAAACTTGGGTTCTTGAACATGTATGTTTATCAATAAAAGTCCTAACTTGAAACATTTCGCAATCTTTTATCCTCTTTGCAATCATACGCCACATACAGTTTTTGTCAATCATACACCTTGTTTCGAAACGATATTTGCTTGATTTGTTAACTTGTAGTTGATAGCCATCTTCCACACATTTCGTATACAAAACTATCTTCAAGTCTTTCTTTGTATCAAAACAATCATCTTTCTTGATACGAATAATTTTTGTGTAACAATCAACTGCTATATTTACCAACTCTTCTTCCGGTATCTGAAATAATTCTGGCATATTCCAGTTATACTCCCGTGGCATTTTCTTCGGGGACTTTTCTTTGGGGATTTATTCTTCTTCTTTTTTCTTCTTCAGGGTTATATGAATTACATAATGGATGTTCAACATGTTCATTCACAGTCGTAACTTACCCCTCATTATCATCAACAACATCTTCCTCGGCAGCGGCTGTTTCATCATCAAAATTCGGGTATTGACCAATATCAAAATCATTACACGCAGGGTCTGTTTCTTATTCTGAGACATCATCAAAATCTGAGTATTGACCAAGATCAAAGTCCGGGTATTGACCAAGATCAAATTTCGAATACTGACTAGTACTAATAATTTTTTTCTGTTGGCTCATCATCATTTAACTGGTCAATACGAAAACCAAAATTTGGTGCTGAAAGTTGATTGGGATTTGGATTAGGGAAATGTTGTGGGTTTTGAGATTGTGTTTGGTATTGGAAATGTGGTGAAACAAAATTTGCTTGGTGATGAAATTGTGGTGGAACCATTAAATTTTGAGCACCATAAACTGAGGTTGAAAAACTTAGTTGATTACTACCCGCTACTGACCCAACTTCACTACTTCTAGGTTCAACAACATACAATGTAACATCATCTTGCGAAACACTAATGTAAACAATGAATCGTTCAACATCTTCATTGTCGGTTAACAAATAAACTTTACATTTTCTCTGATGAGATAGCCTAAATCCACTTAAGGTCTCTAAATTCAATTTATTTGCAACACGTAACATTAAAGTTTCATAAGTTAACTTTTTTAATGACAGTTTTAGTTAAAGATTCATGGGTAAAGGAATATATTGTAAAACACCATGAACATTCTCCCATGACCCTCCAAAACACAAATCTATCCAAACATGATCAACATTAGATGATTTCATTATTGTAAATTAATTTACTAAACAAACGAGCTGTGAAACTAAAACCTATTGTCGGATGGGGAATGATGTCGTTGGATATAGAAACGGATGTCGCCGGAGAGAGTGATAGATGGAGATGGAATGAGTTGCGATTTAGGGATTTAGGTTATGAGTTGCTTCTGCTGCGTAGTTATATACCCAAAACATTTGTGTTGCGAAACTAAAATATGTTGCGAATTTGAAATCCAGTGTTGCAACAGTCAAAATAGCGTTGCGATAGTTAGAATCTCGCTGCGATAATCATAATCGCGTTGTGATAGTCAGAATCGCATTGAGATAGTCATAATCGCATTGCGATTTACATATTCGCATTGCGAATTCGGAAAATCGCAACGCGAATTTGGAAAATCGCAATGCGATAATCAGAATCGCGTTGCGAATATGGAAACTGATTTGCGATACCGGAGATCGCATTGCGAATTATCGATCGCATTGCGATTTAGTTGGTCATTTTGGCAAATCCAAAAAAAATGGTTAAAATTATATATATAAGGCATTTTTGGTGACTGAGTTTATTTTCTCTATAATTTATCTCAAATTATTAAAAAAATTATTAGTTCCTAACGTACAAGCAAATCAGATTTTCGAGTCAGATTATTTCAGTTAAATATCAAACATCACATTTCAAATCAAACAAATCGATCTTGAAAAATCATTGAGTAACATGTATATATATATATATATAGGGAACTTCATTATTAGAAAATATGAGTAAAAGTAACAAAATCAAAGGACAACACGATCATAACGTAAAAGAGACATCAAGCAACTATTAAACTTTTCTTAATAGGAATGATAGAAAATATGCATAAAATACCTTATTTTATAAGATTAATTATTTGTTAATTAATGATTTTTATTCATTGAGTGGTCTTTTTATTTCAAAATAAAATATTATGGGGTCAAAATATTTTAAAATGTATAAGGTTAAAATGATAATTTAATCAAATATTATGAGTATTTTTTGACATTATGTCTATTATTTAAAGGATGAAATTTTAAAAATAAAAATTTTAAATTAAAAATTCGTTACGAATATTTATATGCTATTATTTAACTTGAAACGGACTTGGAATAAGTATTTAGAAATCAAAATTAGACATAAAACGAAAGAATATTTAATAATGGAAGAAAACATGAGAGCGGAACGGATGCCTTAATATTGGGCCTTAATTTGGGCCCTTTATATAGCCCATTCCCTCCATTATTTTTCGCATTCAATCATTTTATTCCGCGATATTCTCTCTCCCCAAACACATTCCCAAAAAGAAAAAGAAAAAAGAGCAGTTTAAGCCAACGAGAAGACAATGACCGATCAGCTCACGGATGATCAGATCTCTGAGTTCAAAGAGGCCTTTAGCCTATTTGACAAGGATGGCGATGGTTCCTTCTCTTCTCATCCTTCTCTTTTATTGCTATTTCTTTATGTTTTTCATTTTTAGAATTTTCTTTGTTCGATTCGGCTCCGGTTCGTTGATATATGCCCCTTTTCGTTTTTATGTTTATTTTTTAAAATATTACCGATCCTTTTCTTTTATGACTTGAATGATGTAGCGAATCTAGGGTTCCGATTTATGAATTTATATTTCTGTTTCATTTTTTTATTTCATTTCATGTCTTAGATTTTTATTGTTACGGCTGTTAATTCTGATTGCTTTAAAATTTCCCCCTTGTTCATCATCATAATAATTCGTCTTCATGTTTTTATTGTTAGGCTTATATATTTTCTTGATGCAAGCATGCTTGTATAGATGGATAGGCCGTCATTTTATTGGTTATTCGTTGCATATCTACTTGAGATTTGGAGTTTCTGATTTGATTTGTGATTCAACCATGACTAAATGTTGCATTTTCATTGTGTAAATTCTAATCTAATTAGCAAAGTTTCCATGGATTTTGGATGTGATTCCCTATGATTGAAACCTTCATTTTCAACCTATTTTGTGATACAAGATCCTTGCTAGTATTTTATTGGACTTGCATATTTGTGGTAACGCAATCGGCTCATGGTTCCATCATTGAATTTAGGTTCTTTGTTTATGTTTAACTGATATGAATCTAGTATCAAAACGTGCTTGGCAGGTTTTGTTAGGTTATAAAATTTTGTTGTGAATGATTCAATTTACTTTTATGATCTTCTTATATTGGGAAGATGATCACCATCCTCTTCAGTTCTGTTTGTCTATGCATATGTGTTCCTTAAATACTTCAGCTACATTTTAGAAAAGTTTGAAAATCATCAACTAGCATGTTTTTACATGAAATAGAGTCACACCCTTGTGTTTTCTTCAGGTGATTTTACATTATTTTGCATGCTTGTTTTCTAGTCAAATCCACTTAATTTTGTTGATTATTCGTACCCAATATTGTAGCATAATTGTGTTGCATTTATTTTTCACCTTTGTGGCAGGTTGCATCACTACTAAGGAACTGGGGACTGTGATGCGATCGCTCGGGCAGAACCCTACCGAAGCGGAACTGCAAGATATGATTAATGAAGTTGATGCTGATGGAAATGGGACAATCGATTTTCCTGAATTCCTTAACCTGATGGCAAGGAAGATGAAGGATACTGACTCCGAAGAGGAACTTAAAGAGGCTTTCAGGGTGTTCGACAAAGACCAAAATGGTTTCATATCTGCTGCGGAGCTACGCCATGTCATGACAAATCTTGGTGAGAAACTTACAGATGAAGAGGTTGACGAAATGATCCGTGAAGCTGATGTTGATGGCGACGGGCAGATCAACTACGAGGAGTTCGTTAAAGTCATGATGGCCAAGTAAGGTTCTCACCAACCATTACAAAGTTCCAAAAATTGATAAAAAAGAACAGGGAAGACAGGCTTGCTAAGACTTGTATTTCTGAATAGGACCTTCTATGTTATTAATTTACTAGCTTTTTTATTTGGTTGTATCTCTTTGTTGCTTGAATTATTTTACCGCCCCGTACCTTAGTATCATACTTATTTGCTCTGCTTTTTTGCTCAGTAGTTTTTAGTGTTCTATTTTCTTTTTGATTGGTTTCATGCAAACCTTAAACAATTTGGAAGGTGTGTGTTCTGTCAATCTGGAAATTACTGTATTTGAAATTTTACTCTATCTTTTAACGTGAATACAAGTAGGGATGGATACAATTTTATGTTAGGGCGTATTTATAAAATTTTGGGACAAAAATATATTTTAGAATATAAAAAATCTATCTAAATTATACGAAAATTTGAAATTTTCATATGATTTTAACAGTCTCCTCAGTCCATCTTGGTTCCAAGTTTGAAACAAAAGGAAAATATATAGTATTTTTCTTATGGCTTAGTTGGTTGGAAAGAAGGGTAGTGAAATGCCCAATATAAAAGTATTTACTTTTTTATTTTCCCAGTCGACCTATCTGATCTATGGTTATTCCAATTTTGTTTCAGAAATAAGTTATAAAATTTAATTTAAAAGATGCAACTGATCTTGGGAAAAACAATTGGGATTTCCACAAATGCCAACGAATGATCATTTAATATTATGAAGGTAGCGATGTAAATGATTAGCAATCTATTTTTCCATCCAAAAAATCCTCCAAGTAGTTACTGGCTGAATCAGAAAAAGGTAAAATATCTAAGTTGATAAAATATTTAGACCATCTTTCTCTTATCTCTATTAGGCTTGTCGTCGATTCGATCCTTATCTTGTCTCGTCTTCGATTATTTTAACTATTTTTTGAGATATTTCTTGAAAGTTATTCTTAGAGCATAGTCAAGCGACTACTTTATGAGGTTTCCAATTGTTATCGGATTGAAGCACAGATTACACAGGGCAGGGAGTTAGAGAGATCTTATTGTTTTCCATGTTCGAGTAGCTACATTTTCATTTCCATGATTCTAATGTAATCGAGGTTCGAAGTAGTATGGATACTAAGGGGAGCATTGATGATCCTGCTGGTTATTTCTCGTCTCGACCGCCATTTGATGATTCTCGGAGTTCGTTTACATTTTTCCTTTTCGAATCCTGTAATTGCCCTCAAGAAATATGCAGAAGACTGGAAGCCTTAATAATCTTGAGTGTGGCTAATGTTTGTAGAATACATTCTTCCTTCATCAGAGTAAGTATTCAGGGATACTAGCTTGTGTTGAATTTGTTGGGTAAGGTAGCTTTATGTACTTGGCTGCTTAAAGAAACGCTATTTTCAATGAAATAATGTGTTCTCTAAGATCCGTTGTTGTAACTTTTTTAGAACACTTTTTCCTCAATAATTGAATAGCAAAGAATGACTTCAATAGCAAGCAACAGTTTCAAGCCTTTTATGCATTTGTGAGTTGGCATTTGGCTGACGAAGTCTGTAATGAAGTGTTCGATGATTAGGGGTGTAAATGAACAGAAATATGAACTGTTCGTGAATCTTTTGTTTATGTATACTTATTAAGCTAAATAAATGAGTATGAACAAAAATTTTACGTTCGTTTAATAAACGCATGAACACAAATATGTATGTTCAATTCGTTTATGTTCACAAACAAATTCGTTTGTAGACTCGTTCATGATTCTCTTTTGGCTTTTAGTTTTTCATATTTAAATATTGGTAGATATAGAGACTAAATTGAACGTTAGGTAACTTTGAAGCTCAAACTATAAAGTCTAAGAAAATTAAGGACTAGTTTCGTAGTTTCACCATTTTTATTTGACTTGCAATTGATAGTATAAAAAAGAGTGTTGATTACCGAGTATTAAAGAAACGTTAAAAGAATATGTATGTAAATGCTATACGAATATGTTCGTCAATACTAAATGAACATGTTGACCAACACTAAACGAATAAACACGATACTAAGAATTTAAAAAAATACGTACCGAGCATAAACACTTTCGAAAATAAACAAACAAACACGAACATAACTTTGTTCGCTCAAGCTCAATTCATTTACACCTTTATCGATGATCAAAATGCAAGCGACTTAAAATTTCAATAACGAAATTCCATCCTATATTTATAAAAATATACTCGTATGAAAGACTTACAGTTTCCATCAGGATGTGAATGCATTAACAACTCCTTCCTTCCTAATCAAAGAAAGAACAATGAAAATCATTTCGAAAATACGACAATATTATTCGAGCTCTGCCACCAGATTATTTTCTCATCTGAAAGTTTGCGAGATGACATTAGGGTGTCCTCTGAACTCAGTTACCACTCGCCAATTTGGCACGGACGAGCTTTGCAGCAGCTACCATGTTGCGAAGAGCAGGCTCCACTTCGGAGTATTTGCGTGTCTTGAGCCCACAGTCGGGATTGACCCACAGAACCTTGCTATCAAGGACCTCAAGCATCTTGTTGATACGGTCAGCAACTTCTTCGGTAGATGGGATCCTAGGAGAATGAATGTCATACACACCGGGACCAATTCCGGCGTCATATTTGACTCCCTCTTGGAAGACCGATAGAAGCTTTTCATCGGATCTCGAGTTCTCGATGGTGATCACATCGGCATCCATGTTTATAATTGCGTTAATGATGTCGTTGAAGTTTGAGTAGCACATATGTGTGTGAATCTGCCAAAATATGTTTTGCAGTATGACGTTCAGAAAACAAAAACCAAAGCATTTTATACAGCAAAATTCCATATCCACGTCTATTAACAAATACCACTAAGGTTCTATAAAGGAAAATCAAATACCAATTCAGTAGTCATTTCAAAGCTATTTTGGGATTTTTCCAATTGCAGATTTCTTCGAAGAATCACTTTTCTAGAAAAGTTATCGATTACCAAATTTCTAGTCTTGTTTCTTTTGACACATCATAAATGTTTAAAAGACCAATGACATAAAAGGTTACGGTTTAAGAAACCGGTTCATTGATGGCTCAGTTACTAAATAAGATGATAAGGATTGGAAACCTGAGTAGTGTCTTTGACGCCACAGTTAGTAATCCGGAAGGATTGAACGGCCCATCCCAGATAGAAAGGCTGCTCGGATTTCCTAAGAGGCAAGCCCTCTCTTACTGCAGCTTCATCAATCTGGATAACAGAAATGCCTGCCCTCTCAAGATCCTGAACCTCATCCTTAATGGCTAAGGCGATCTGGTAGCATGTTTCATGCCTAAGAACAGGCAACAATACTGAATTAAAGAAAAGAAAATACATAATCTTGCATTATAAACGATGTTGGATTTACTCACCTCTCCTGATCGTTTCTCACAAAGGACCAGTTCAAGATGGTAACAGGGCCAGTAAGCATTCCTTTCATAGGTAATCTAGTCACACTCTGAGCCGTTGTAGACCAAAAGACAGTCATGGCCCTGGTGCGGCTCACATCACCATAAATAATAGGAGGCTTGACACAACGGGATCCATATGACTGAACCCATCCATTCACAGTGAAGGCAAAACCGGACAATTGCTCACCAAAGTACTCAACCATGTCATTTCTCTGCATCGATAAAGTGCAATTGCAAATGACAATGACAAGTTAGAACTTTATTCCGATAATATGGTCAAAGCATATGCATACCTAACTATTGTAATCATGAAAAAAAACTCACCTCTGGCTCTCCATGCACCAAAACATCAATACCAATCTCTTCCTGGAGCTTGACAATTTTGTTAATTTCCTCCTTCATGGCATTAACATAATCATAGTCATTGATCCTACAAGTATATGACATAGAGAACAGGTTATATATGCAACAAAAACAAAAACTTGAAAGGGATATAGACCAAAAGCACATAACCTCACTTTTTAGCCTTGTACTCACGACGCACTTTTCTAAGTTCACCGGTTTGGGGGAAAGATCCAATAGTGGTGGTAGGAAGAATTGGTAGGTTCAACTTCTTCTGCTGAGCAGCCAGTCTAGCACTTACACTTGTGGCGCGGCGGTGATCAGAATCCTTCAAGGCAGCAACCTAAACAGAAAGGACTGATATGTAAGTAAAAAGAAGGTTGGAAGGTCGGAATAGACCATTTAAGAAATGAATGACAAATGACTTTCTCTTGAAGCTACATACAGCCTTCTGCACATTATCATTTTTCACTCTAAGAGAGGACCTTCTTGAAGCATGAGATGTAGCATTAGAAGCAAAAAATGCCTGCAAAAAATATAAGATGATAGGGCAAATCAATAAATATTGAGATCATACACAACATATTTTGAAGTTACAGAGCATGTCATTTGCTGCCTAGTTGATTGAAAATAAGACAAAGAAAAGTAGAGAAAAGTGCAAGCCTGCAGGTTGAGAGGTCATTAGTGGCTAAAACATATGTTTTCTATATCAATAGTTGTTGATCAACACTTAAAACTTGCAACAGTTAGCATTTATTAAGCAAAAACTAGAAAGAAATACCTGATCCTTTTGCCCAACCAATGCTTTGGCCAAGGCGTTTACTTCAACTACTTTTTGTGCTGCAAATGCAAGCCAGGACTTGATCTCTTTTCCCAATTTAGTTTCATTCACAAGGTCCACCGCGGTGTGGAGAAGAGAGCATGATGTAGAGACCACAACTTTCTCTGTCAGAGAGCAAACAAGAATTGTTCTTAACTTTCAGTAAATTGCATACTGAAATTCCAAGTAGAAAGAATGTAGGAATTCATATATACCTTTGCCAATAATACCCTCAAGAACCTGCAGTATACAAAGTGAAGCAGCAAGATCATTAGCCCAAACATTTCTTCCGTCAACCACTCCAGCAAACAAATATTTATCAGGAGGAAACCCACTCTTTAACAAGTTAAGTGTTCTTGTTCCACGGACTAGATCAAATCCAAAACCAGCTACAGATTTTAATGAAGTAAGTGCCTTGTACGTCTGGACAGGAACATCAGCAAAGTAAGTTTCAATAAGAACATTCAAGCCAGAAAAAGATGATTCTAGCTCTGAGTAGGCATTTGTAAAATTTTGCAGTTGAAGCGCCTCAAGATCCATCACAAGGCTGGGTTCATCAAACTGAATCCATGTTGCACCAGCTGCCTTTAGTTCAGCAACAACTTCCCTGTCGAGTAATAATTATTAGAAAACACTTAAGACAATATGCCGGCACCGATTTCAGAAGAGCTTAGTCGGATAATTTGCAGATTAATAAAGGCCAAGCAAACATATCAGTGCCTTACTTGTAAACTGGAACAATCTTTTCAATTAGAGAAAGAAGAGAGAAGGATTTATCCACGCCCTTAGCTGGTTTTGATAGCAATATGTAAGATAAAGGGCCTAAAAGTACAGGGACAGTGTCAATTCCGAGCTGCACGTAAAAAAATGCAAGAATAATTAGCAATTCAACAAATATAGTTAGGTAGAGAATTTGATTTTTCCAACACCATCAGTAAAGCAAGGAAAAAAAAGCCCAAACATCTTGTCAACACGAATTAACAATATCCCCAAGTAAAAACACTGCAAGTCCTAAGAGGTCATTATCATTTGTTGATATGGATGTCATATGCTGGAGCTAAAACAACATTCCTCTTAAATCACAACTTTCATCTGCAAAGCTGACACCATAAAAGTAAAGCCACGAGGACCGAATCAATGGGTGTCAATTCCGCTCTGATATATGGAATCCATTTTAAAAAAATATTGAATTATTTGAGTTTTCAAAAATGTAAAAGATGCATACGAAAAATTGGATTTACGCAAAGTATGATTTAGCTAATTTCTAATCTTCCTGGTTTTAATTTTGGGACTTGTTTATATAGTCTTACACCACAAAGCCTCGAAGCTACAAAAGTTTTAGAGAACAAATACGTTAACTCTCAGATATAGGTTGTCCTTGGTGCACTCTTTTTACGATAAAACGACTCTCGCGAAAATTATACAAGCTTTAGCATTTTTTACAAAAGGAAAACGATGTGGCATTCCTTCAATTGTTAGCGATATTACTGTTATGAAGCAAGCAGAAAAAGATAAAAAAATTGACAGCCTAGGATAATGAACCAAAGTTGAATATAAGAAATTCCATGTTAACTAAACAAATATTAGTAAAGCAAAAGGGCAAAAGAGCAAAACAGGAAAAGTTTAGCATGAGAAAGTATCAAACTCACAGCTTTGGCCTCATTGTATTCCTCAACAGCCTTGTGAGATGCATAGGAGAATTTGACATCAGGCCCCAATTCCGGGACAATATAGTGACTTCAAAAATGAAAAATATCATTGATGTCATGACATATAAGACATTTTGTTTTGCAAAAAAATACCAGCTACAAAGTATTCTCACTTACTAATTGGTGTCAAACCACTTGGTCATTTCCATAGCAGGAGCAGAGGCATTACCCCTTGCCATCGAGAAATAAACATCAAAACCAATCTCACCACCGTTCCATCCATATCTAGGAGGGACTGCACCTAGCATCGCGGTGGTGTCCAATACATGATCGTAGTATGAAAATGTGTTGCTAGGAATAAACTTGATTCCGACCTCAGCCATTTGCTTCCAGATGGATGCCCTGAGATCAGACGCCGCCTGTTTCAAATCATCAGAGCTGCTTTTACCTTCCCAGAAAGATTCCAATGCAAACTTTAACTCCCTCTTGGGTCCCATTCGAGGGTAACCGACAATGTGGGATGTCATTGCTCTGATTCAGGAACACAGAGTTATCATTAAGATTTCAAATTCAGGTAAAATCAAATAAACAATGGCCTTTTTTCATCAAAACGAGTCATTTAAAAATATATTTAAATTCTTATTGAAGCATAACATAACCAGTTAAAATTAAGCATCCATTTGTTTTTCTCAATCAAATGGACAATTGTGGGATATGAATCCAACTATTCCAATTTGGCGATACAAACATCTATTATAGCGCCAAATACTCAGGTCAAGGTGCCCGTTAAAGGTTGCGAGTTTTATTGGCCAAGAGCAGCGACTGGAAGTAGCAGATTTTAATAACGAAGGGAATATGAAAATTCAAATACACGCAATTATATACGAGACAGAAAAATGTAAAATAAACAGAAAAGAGAAGAAACCCACATACTAATGTGTTTGGTTACTCAGAAATGGAAAGGAAATGAAAAGAAAATCAGCGGTGATAGCGGGAAATTATAAACAGATTTTAAGATCCTAAAAAGAAGGGAATTCAAAACATTGTGTGTGTGTGAAATTTCGTTCAACAGAACCACAAAAAAGCTAAAAAATATCCAAATTTTAGGAAACGAGAAAAGAGGAAAAGAGTTACCTAATAGAGAAAGAAGGGAGAGAGGAGCGTTGAGAGGCAAGTCTAATGGGGGGTTTATGGAAACGAGAAGGGAAGGGGGAGAGAGAGTGAGGAACACAGAGTTGGGCCATTAACAACCACCTTCTTCCTTCTCCCCTAGCTATTGATGTTGCTATACGCTTCATCTTAGGATGGAGGGAAGCTTATACTATATAATTCCATATTTGGTTTTTTTTAAGGACGGGGGTAGATATCCTTATTAATTTATTTATAAAATATATTTTATAAATATTATTTATTTATGTATAATATAATTATTAATATTTATGTTTGATTATTTTACATTTAAAAAATAAGAAAGAATGCTTTATTTAAGGTATGTTTATTTATTATTAATGAACTAACTTTTAATTATCAGTGAACATGTTTGAAATTATTAAAAATCCATTCTTTTAAATTTAGTTTATTTACATGTCTAATGATTTAAGATAATAATATATGAATAAAATGATTTAAGAGGAAAATTAGAACCTTTGCATTCTTATTAATACAACAATAATTAATTTGTGAGGAGTAATATAACATCTCAAATTTGACCTAATCTAAAATCGAATCAGAGATCTCACATTATCTTGTTGAAATTTAAACAGAATCGAAGTAAAAATAAATCAAACAATCAAATAATCATTAAACATAATTTAAGGGCTAAATTATCAATCATAACAAATATATTGGCTTTCATAGTATTCTCACATCATCAAAAGGAGTCAAAGAGTAATATTTGACAACATGAGTTTGTGAGTTTTGAAACTTGTAGAGAAGCGTCGGAATTCAATGTGAAGTTCTGAAACCTCAAAAATTCCTACTTTCCTAGAGTAAAAGCTTTAAAACTTTAATGTCAAGTTTTGAAATCTCATACCCTATAACACAAGTTTAACTATCTTAAGTTCCAAGAAATTTCTGCAAGCTTACTTACTTATCAAGCAACACCTAACAACATATTTTAGTATAAAAATACACTCAATATAATCAAGACTCTAACAAAGGCATCGGAATGGGTAATCAATGGCGTGATTGTTAAGCTGAAAAGATATGGAAATCTTTTAATCCTTAAAATAATAATAATACAGTGATGGAGTAAAGAAATTGAAATCAGAGGAGAAAAAATGTGGGTAAAATGGGAATAGCCATTGCGAAGGGAATCACTGATACTTTAGAAACTCCATTTGAAGGGCTGCCTCCACCTGAGGAATGCAAAATAATTAATATTATATTATGTAAAAAAATTAAGGTATATTATGTATTTAATTATCTAATTATTTATGTAATTATATTTTAATCACATAACTATTTCTTTTAAAATCATACTGAAACTTATATTTTTTGTTTCGTTTTAATCATCTGTTGTTAAAAATAAAAAATATTATTAATGTAACATTTTTGACGTCTCAATATCACCATTAATTTTCTAATAATAGATGACCAAAAACAGTAAGTTTAAGAAAATAATAATTGAGTCATCCAAACGGAACTATACTAATAATTTTATAATTTACCCAAAAAATTAATACGTTTTCTATGAAAATATTTCTTACCTGGTGAAATTGCCGGAGCGCCGTTGATAACTGTAACATGCAAATAAACAAAATTTATTTAATCACATCATCAATCTTATCCAATAAAAAATCATAACTGACAGAAATATAGTAAATAATTAACACAGGACACGGCACGTGAAGTTCGGCGGAGCAAACCAAAATTATTATATTTTATTAATTTAAAATGATTAAAATATAATATTTATTCTAAATTTTTAATTATTTAACAATAAAAACTTAAACATCAAAAATCTTAAATCTCACACCATAATAAATAATTTAGTATCAATCAATCATCTACCGATCATATCATCCATTTATGTGTTAGATTTCAATTTCAGTTTAATGAAAAATCTATTTAAATTATAAACTTAATGTATTTAAAAAGAAGATAATACTTTAAATTTATTAATTTTTTTACGAAGATCCATATTATTATTTATATATTATATAAAACTAATTAATTTTATTTTGATTTAAGATTTTATTGGTATAAATTAATAGTTAAAATTGAAAACTGAAAAAATATTTTTTATAAAATATGAATAAATTTAGTTGTCAATTTGAACTCAACCAATGATTCTAAATCATGTTTTTTTTTTACACAATATGAATGAATATTATCTCTACTTAAAATTTAATGTATATCCAAAAGAAATAATTACGTCACACTTCGTCAAATTATAAAATATATACTAAATAAAATAATTTCTCAACTTTTAAATATTCTAATTATATATTAATTAGGACTCTCATTTTAAATTAATCGTCACACTTTTAAATATTTTAATTTCATCCATTTCATCTCAAAGTACCGATATATGCTAATCAATTCCGTTAATAAAAATTTTAGGATAAATTATATTATTATTTTTTAAAAAAGATTAAATTTTAGATTTATATTGAAATTAATTACATATTAGCGTGAATTTGAAAATAAAATTAAAAGATTAAAAAAATTTAGAGACCAATTTACAATAAAAGTCATAATTTAGAAATATAATTGGATCAAAAATTTAAGATTAATTTAAAATGAAAGTTGTAATTTAAGAATGAGATTGAAATATTTTAAAATTTAATAATCAATTTATAATGAGAGTTACAGTTTAAAAATGTGCAATGTAATTAACTTTATTTAAAACATATATTATTTTAGAATTGAACTAAGACTTGATGTCTAAAAATTAAGATAATAGAAAAACTAAACAAGATTTTAATGTTTTAAGAACTTAATTAAAATAAATTATGGTATAAAATTTAATTTGAAATTTCAACTATAATTTAAAGAATCTCTAATAAAATTAACTCTAGAAACTTGTACCACATCTGAAAATCAAACCAGAATGGACATGAACCTCATGCTAAATTGAACCACGATTGATGGGATTTTGGTAAAGGGAAAAGGGCTAAAGAAATTAGAACGGATTTACCTGAGCAGAGACTAACAGGAGGAGTGGAAACACGACAAACAGTGGGAAGATCAAGAGCTTTCTTCATATCGATGTTGATCCCCATCCCAGCAGTAGTCTTATTATCCAACAATTTGCACAAACATCGTGGAGTGCTTTCCACAAGCCCCGCCAGCTCCGGGCAGCATGCTTTGTCCGGCTTCGTCAGATTGCTCCCTGCCCCCACGAACGTCAAGCAATCCGATAAGTTCAATAAGGCGTTGAAACAATCCGCCGTCGGTGCCTCTGCTGATGGACCCAAAGCCACGGCTGCCGGCTCAGGTGCCGCTGCCTGTCCCATCGCGCACCTACAGAATGTTAATACAAAGACGGTGGCAGCAATAATTGCTACTGTCTGCTTAGCTGCCATTTCTTATGGGTGTAGGCTTACTGTGGTGTGGGAATTGGGAAAAGGAAGACAGGTGGATAAATAGAGGGAAAGTGGGTGGGAAAGGAGAGAATCAAATTTGAAAAAAAAAATCCCAAACGTAACTGCAAGCCGAAATGCCGAATTGATAACTTAATGCAACTGCCAACTTATTTTTCTTGGGTAAATTACATCTCGTGGTCATTAAGATTGAGTGAACTCATTTTATTGTGTGTTATTTGCAAATAACACACAAAAAAATAACATGTTGTTGAGCAACTTTCATTTAATGAAGTTAACCTTAGGGTTTTTCAATTTCTATCAAATCACTTTTTTCTTTTTTCAAAATTCTAGTATATTTTCATTACTTCAATTCATGATTCGAATTTAATCATTATCAAAGCAAGGTTTTGATAATCGGACACCACAGTTAAGGCGTTGTTGAATAGTCGATCAACTTTCTATTTTGATTCTTGGTTGTGATCTTATTTCTTTTCATGATCTTGCTTCTTTCTATCGTAGTTACAATTTTTATATATGAAATAAAATAAATAAAATTTTAAGATAGACATTAATAAAATTTTTGTGTTTCTTAAACTTGGGGGCTTATTTAAATAATGTTCAAATCTCTAAAGATAATAGCATTCTCTTTTATCATCAATATCAATCAATAAGTTTTTCATTCATATTCTCTTTACCGCGCTAACAATTTTTTGAATAGTTTAACGTTAGGGTGAATTCGATTATGTTTTTCAATAAAATATGCATTAAATCGTACTTTGTGGGTTTTTTAAAAAATGAAACAAAAATGGTAGAAAACCCACGAAATTCGATTCATTTTGGTTTTGCGGTTTTTGAGTATTCACTATTTTTCAAATTCAATATCCAAATAAAGTAAACGTAAAGCTTAAATCGAGTGTAAATATATACATTTAAATTAATAAAAAATATTATTGGTTTTAAGGTTTTATCTATTTAAGTTTGTCTTATAATAATTCAAAATAATTTTATTTTGAATAATTGTTTTTTAAAATTGTTCTAATTTAGTTTGATTTAGTACAAACGGTTTCTATATGAAAAAATCGAAATTGAATCAAACTGTATAATTATATTTTTAAATTGAATCAAACTGAATCGTAAAATGAAAAACCCGAACTAAACCGAACTATTTAGCTCAATTTGGATTGGTTTTTCGATTTTGTTGCTCAACCCTAATTTAAAGTGATTACAAAATAATATATATTCTGAATATTTCATAACAATCGATAGCATTTACACCCGCATAATTTTATTTATAAAAGTATTAATAAATATTCATTACAATTCGTCAGTTGTATCATGCCTAAATAACTAAGAAAAATAAAATTGTTTAGCCAAAAGTTTACAAAAAAAATATCACTTATATTAATACTATATTATATTAATTTAAAACTAAACCCTCCTATTACCTTTCCTCTAAATAAAGTCAAGAATATAACTCATTAAATGATCTCAATATAAAAATAAATATTATTTAGTTTAGAGATGTAGATTCAAACAATTATATATATATATATTAATAATTAATATTTTTAATATATTATTTTATAATTATCTTATATTATTAAAAAAACCCTAAACAATAACGTGGAAGAGCAATTAAATAATACAGTAATGTGATAAAGTTTAATAGCTAACTTTACACGGAAAGTGGACAAATGTTTGGGACAATATAATTCCTACCAATTTACCCCCCTATTTTCCATGAAACAATTCCTACCAAATTTGGTTGCTTGTTAAGACCTACATTACAATATTAAAAATTTAATTAATATTCCCTTTTAAATTTATAACACATATTATTTATTTAATTAAACAATATTAAAATTATAATTATAAATCAATTAAAATTACATATGTTTAATTGAAAAAAAGAAAGATATTTAAATGGACCAATTTATAGCATCTTTTTATTCTATTTATATCCATCGACCCAGCTGATTATACATTTTGGGATTCGTCACTGATAAAAATATTTAGTGACAAGTGGATTTTCAGCCGTTGATCTGAAGAGCCTAACTCTTCGATGTTTGATATTTAAAATTGGGCTAATATCGTCACAAATAGCAATATTACTGTACTAAAATTCCAAACGCCTTAAAAATTAAAATATTATTATTTTATAAATTATTTATTAAATATATATTCAATTATTTTGGGACATGAGAGGGGATAGAGTAGATAGGCCTAGACGTGGATCCTAATATTGATTTGACATGTCCTAGAAGATGACCGGAGGGATGACTGAAGTAGAACAAAGGACGATGACTAGGGCTGTTATAGAATTATAATTAGATTATTTTAAAAGCATATAAAATTGATACTATTATTATTTAAATTTAAATGTCAAATTAGAAAATAACTTTTTATTAATATTTAATGTGTAATGGGAACCAATTCAAAGATTAAATTGTAAAAAACCGATCACGTGAATTATTAAAATATAAGTTTTGAAAAATTAATGATGAAAATTGAATAAAATCAAGACAAAAGTGATTTATATTATAGTTTAGGGTAAAGTATACAAATGATTTCAATTATAAAATATTATTTTGTTGAGCCCGTCGAATTTGATGTTAATACGAGTTAAAAGTTAACATACTAATTGAGATATGTTAAAATATGATATCAGAATTTCAAACGATTATCATATCTCAATCAGCATATTAACATTAAACTCATACCGTTATTTTTATCGAGAAAGGAAAATTTTAAAATATATAAATAATCAGATAATTATTTTATAACTTTTGATAGGTGAGATATTTAATAAAACAACGTTAGGGGACCATTTATAACTTTAGTTTATAACTTTTAATAATTAAGAGATTTAATAAAATATCATTCTATAATCTATGATTATATTTACCGATAACACGAGTCAATCGAAGTTGATTTTTTTTTCTTTATATGAGATTGGAACATGAATGTGAGATATTATTTTGAAAATCAATCTTTTGGGTTTGCTCTTTGCTGTTGTTGTCATTCATCTGTTCACTTCAATATCAGATTCAGTTCCTTCAGGAATGATAGAAATGGGGAACAATGGAAAGCTTGAAGCTGAGAGGTTAGTGATATATAGTTTTATCAGTCAATTTTCAAGTATTTGAAATGGGTTATCAATTTATATTTGACCGGTTGCCTTGCTGATGCTTGAAGATATGCCGTAGTGACCGGAGCAAACAAGGGTATTGGGTTTGAGATTGCAAGGCAGCTTGCTTCGAAGGGTGTAACAGTTGTATTAACAGCTAGAGATGAAGTGAGGGGAAATGAGGCAACCGCGAAGCTCCACCGACTGCTTTTTTCAGATGCAGTCTTTCATCAACTTGATGTTCTGGATCAGACTAGCATTGACGCATTGGCACGTTTCATATCTCAAAGGTTTGGAAGACTTGATATCTTGGTAAGTATCGACTATTGACATTACCCAGAGTCTTCTAAAACCAGCTTTAAGTGCTTGCATCTCAGATGATTTCATATTTTAGTTTTCTAATTTGCTCATAAATCGTATAACATCTGGCAGGTCAATAATGCAGGTGTCAGCGGCGCTATAGTTGATGAAGATAGCCCCAAAGCCTTAGGTATAGTTGATGAAATAAGTTTTTTTTATAAATATAACTAAGTTCTTACCCTTCAGTTTGCAACAACTAAGACCGTAGCTTATTCAGATATGCTAAAAGAACAGGAACTTAAGGAAAGTAAAACAGTTGGAGAGCTTTGTTTATCTAGTATTATAGACATTATTTATTTCAATGAGCTAATTAATTGTTGGTGCAGCTCTCTGGGAAGGTGGCAAAGGTGATTCAGAGTGTGGTAAAGTATATCTATGAAGAGGCTCAAGTATGCTTGAATACTAATTACTATGGTGTCCAAAGAGTAACTGAAATCCTCCTCCCTCTGCTTCAGCTTTCCAGTACAGGAGCTAGGATTGTCTATGTTTCTTCTCTTCGAAGCGAATTGAAGGTACTTTTATCTCAAGATAATTAATGGATCGAGATAAATTTCGGTACTATATTATGATTTAGTGTTGCCGTTTTTACTATATATTGAATTTATTGAGTTTTGTCATGTTGGTTTTAATCCATAGAAAGTCTGGGAAAAGCCATGGAATATAATACCATCACAAATTGCGTAACTTTAAGTTGCAAATTTTGCAGAGGAATCCTGCCGAAAGCATTAGAAATGAACTTAGAGATATAGAGAATCAAACTGAAGAGAAACTTGACAGCACATTACAAAGATTCTTGAAGGATTTTAAAGAAAATGCACTTGAAGCCAATGGATGGCCCACAATGCTGCCGGCCTACAGCATTTCAAAGGCGGTCCTCAATGCTTACACAAGAATTCTAGCCAGAAAGTACCCAAACATGCACATAAATTGTGTTCGTCCTGTGTATGTTAACACCGACATAAATTGGCATACAGGGGTGATCACGACTGAGGAGGGTGCAAAAGACCCTGTTAAATGTGCTCTCATCCTCGATGGTGGCCCGACTGGGTGCTACTTCGATCAGACCGAGGTTGCAGAGTTTTGAGACCCTCCCTCTTTCCACTTGGTTGGAGATTGAACATTTATTTGGGATCGCTACATACTATTTATGTTATTTGAACTTTTCATAATTTAAACTGTTTGTGTCTAATGTGAACATATGTGCCGATTAAGTTGAGCGGACCATGTGTGGTGACTAAGTTGAATAAAGCATGAATGATGATTGAGCATGTAGACACGACCACACAAGTTATCTGTACCTATGCTGATTATCTTGAACAGAGCATTTATACATGAAACTCATCTCGTGATAACAGGCTTTTACAGTTTCAAACGTATGGTTTTGGTGTTGGTTGTTGTTTACAGTGGTGATTTTGTTGAGGTGATCCTGTCTTTTTTGAGGGTGGGGGGATGATTCAGGTATGCAAGGTCTTATGTTTCTTGAGTCCTCATGCTTGAAGTTGGTGGTTTGATTCAATACGATTTGTACTCAGGGATGGACCGAGGGGACTTCTGAGAGCAGTCGTCCCTCTTAAATTTTTTAAATTCATATGTATTTTAGATATATTTTTATATTTTTATTAAAAATATGTTTTCGTCTCATAAAATTTTATAAATTTGTTTGCCCTTAAAATTTTATCCCAAAATATAAAGTTTTGCGTCATACCATATTTGGATTGGTCTTATGTTTATGTGTATGGTGTTCAACTACTTGTTATTGGATGTTGATACTTCCTGATGCTTTGGTCCTGAATTGTTTTATATTATGGACTAGAGAGGTCACATTAGGTTGCCGAAACAATTGTCAATTTTTTTATTCCATTTCAATTTCAATTCATAATTTGAGTCAAATAAAATATGGCATCCATAACATTTATAAAATATTTGTATAAAATTGGAACTATGTGATAATTAAATTAAAATCAAAATAATAAAATCCATAGAGTTTACCGACTAAGTACGTAAATAAGGGTCATATGAATACACATGCCCAGTAAAGTAAATATTATTGTATTCGTACGGTGGGGTTGGAATCCTTCTATGACGATGCTCCTTGAACAAGCATAAATAATTAACACGCGAATGAAAATATCTGATCGCTGAGTCTTACAAAACTTAGTGACACATTTCTACTCTATTATGCTACTTGCAATACTATACTACTTATAATTCATAAACATAAACCAAAGGTTTTCATTATGTTATATTTTGAAGCTTTGGTTTTGTAAATGTTTTACATTATTTACACATCAATTTTATTTACAATCGATATTTTGAGAGTCTTGTATTTGATTTAAATATTTAAAGATTATAAATTTAATGATCGTTCTGATGATCTAATATGATATCTTAGACCTATTGTATATTACATGTTGATTTTAGAGCGTTATATTGTAGTTTATTCAAAGGGAGAGAATGATATTAAAATATTTTTTGAGGTGTTCTAAATAAAATCTAAACAATAGACTTGAGCTTAGAATGGGCAGGCCTCTCGAGATATGTTGGAGTGATAAGGGAAAGTTGATGTATTAGCTCCATCTATGGGATATTTTTGGTGTGTTTGAAAGTGTTAGCATTGCTACACTTCGATAGGGACATGTTCGGATTATATAAGTTATAAGAAGATCTATTTATCTGGTGTATGTATTATACTATGTTTCATCTGGAGCAAAATATCAATAATTATTAACAATAATTCGACTTAAACAGCATTAATGCAGCTCTGGTTTCCAGTGTTGTCAGTTGGAGCGATCATCGGCACAGTGGTAAGCATATACGTACGTACGTATGTATATATATATATATATATATTGGTTGCAATCAAGGTCAATGAAGGGACGTTGGTGATAGTAGTTGTTGTTTGCACCACTAGCAATGCAGACCAGCCTAACAGTGCTCTAAGTTCTAAACATGGAACCTGACCAAGAAATCTCCATCACCCATCCAACAAATCGGCATTGGCCACGAGTTGAGCCTACTCAGAATGGCCGTATCAGCACTGGTGGATTCGAAACTGCTCATGACGGTCCACGACAAGTCTGAACCGACATCAATGGCACCCATGTTGGCTCTATGGTTGGTCCCTTAAGCTTAGTAGGCATTTGAATTGAAGCAATGATAATCAACCAGTAAAAGAAGGGATGATAACCACAAGTCGCAAAAATTGCAGAGAAAACATTTAATATCCTGGTTTTATGAATACAGAAAGAGCCAGACAAGCTACAAAACAATGTTGTTGATCTTGTCATAAATCAACGAATCATGGTTTAAAGACTCTCTACGTGCGAGACTATTTTACTACAATAACATAGTAATGCAAACCATGTTTTCATAAGAAAACTAGGGTTTGGGAACAAACCTTCGAACCCTAACTTGTTTGCCGTTGATGAAGAGTTTCACCAATGTCTTACCCCCAAGAACCCTCGACATGTCTGAGTGGACCTTAGAACAACACAAGCGAACAAACGCATAGGGTTTTTATCCATGTAGATTGCCTCCACCGATGTCCCGAATTTCCCGACGATGAAACCATGGATTTCTTGGCTTGAAACCGGGTGTCCCCTTGAGAATGTCATGAACAATGTTTTTTCTTCCGATTCCGAATCCACGTTTCCCTTCAAAATCTTCCCCTTGTGATAATCTGTTGCTGCGCCATTAGGATTTTTGAAGATTGCTTGCGACCCAAGTTTTGTTGAACTATATCGAGAAATGCTACCCGACACACATCTTTCACAAAATCATGGACCATTCGTTTAAGCCCCTCCCTGTTCTTGACAAGAAAACCCAACAGGGTTTCTTGAGGAACAAGTCTGTTCATCTCTGGGAAATCGAGACAGAGCCACGGGGTGATTTGTTGGGAAGAAGAGGACAAGCATTGCAAGCAGAGGATGGACTCTTTGGCCAAAGAGAGATACGACGAATCAGAGAATTGTTGGAGGTTGAAGACGAAGTTTCTGAAGCCGAATTTCTCAAGAGTATTCCAAAAGGCAACGATTTGATTGAAGGAGAAGGATCGAAATTACGAAGCAGTCTAGCATAGGCAATGCGATCAATGTTGTGAAAATCTTGGAGTTGTTTAAGGGAAACTGCCATGGCAGAGGCTTGAGAGAGAGAGAGAGATTAACAGGAAAATCAAGAAACAAGAAAGGGAACAAGCTGAAAGAGGAGAAGAGGTTCAAAGTACTTAAAGAGATAAAAAATTTCTGACCGTTAAACACAAAATTAAAACCATGAGGTGCTGAGAAAGGAAGGCGGTGGCAGACGCACACACTTCTCTTCTCTTAACTTTGGTAAATTTAAGATTATGGCCTTAATGGGAGAGATTTTCACTTGCATGCATGTTAATTTCAATTTTTACATTTTTGGTCCCCATGAATTACTTAACAGGTTCTTGTACAAGAAATATGAAATTCAATCCCGTATATGGATTTAATTTTATTTAACTCAAGTCATATTTAATAAATAAAGAGATAAAAGAAAAAACTGCTTTAGATACCACTTAACTTTGCCCTTTAACTCGTTTATACAACTGAACTTTCAATTTTATTAATTATAACATTAAACTTTAACTTCTACTTCAATTATGTCACTTGTTGTTTTAATGCGAGTGTTTTGATACTAAAAACGAACCAAAACAAAGCGATTTTGTTAAATAAAATTTAAGTTAAATTAAATTGCTTTTTAGAGAAATCGAAGTAGGGCCTCTTGGAATTCAATGCTTACACTTGACCAATAAAACAACATGGGTTTTTGATATAATTCGAACACAAATAATGTATATATATATATATATATATATATATATATATATATATATATATATATATATATATTAAATTGCACTTTAGATTAAATCTAAATCCTAAATAATCCAGGATTAATTCCAAAAATTCCCATTATATATTTTTTTCCTTTCTACATTTCGTCTTCACCGCAGTCATGCGAGGTAGAAGAAAACAGGCCGAACCGGGATGGTTCCTCGGCGTCTGAAGGCGGCTTTGGGGCTAATATGGTGCCGAGATTAGGGACCCCACGACGAAAGAACATCATTGGTTTGGGTGTTATCGATAAGATGATGATTATTATCAGCAAACAAATCAATCATGTCTGGGGATCAAACATGGAATCAAAATGATGAAGTACAGTACTCACGATTGTCTGGAATGATGTTAGTGTTGGGTTTCTAGCCGGTAAGCTTGTTTCGAACCCAGCTGAAAATCTGCAAACCAAACCAAGACAACATATAAGCCTGCTTAACCAAAAGGAAACGAGTCTATATACTAGTTATATGTTGAAAATAAGCTTTTCAATACCAATGAAAAAACAGATCGATCAAATGGGCAATGATAAATATAAAGCTCAGAGTACTTTAGTTGTCGAACTCCCACAAAAAAATTAATCGAGTCTGTAAAAATTACATTTGAATGAGTTTTAATTATAAAAACAAAACTCATCAACATCGTTTTTGAACAGAAGAAAATGATCACCGATCGTTATTATATTGATATTATAATTTATAGTGTTGATGTGATGATTTAAAATATTGATACGATAATATATAATATTGATGTGATAGTTTAGAAATATAATAGTATAAAATAACTGATTATGGAGAGTATATTTTGGGATCTCAGTTGAATATTTTGAGAATTTGGGTTGACGTTGAATTGGGTCTGAATTTGAATTCAAGCCCGTACAGAATTTTATGATGACAACCTAAATTATATAGAGTTGATAAAATGAAATTCAACATGATTATAAAAATATACCAATGCAAATCTTTTTCTTAGTTACTTTTTTTTTCGTTAAAAAAGCTCCAGATCGATCAAATTTATGTCAAATTGATCAATGATGTCAACAATGATGGCTCAATATGCATCTTCCAGTCAGCTCCAACCGCTATTCACAACATTCTTAGCCAAGATATTCTCGGACCACCCCACCATAGGACTAGTATCTCTCTAATGTAAAGGCTCTAGCCTCTTTATTATTCAAAAAAAAAAAAAAAAGCTCCAGATTTCAAGCTGAACTGTTTTCCCCATTGTCCAAACTTTTCTTTGTTAAAGAAGAAGAAGAATTTACTAGATCATAGGAAGTTACCAAAGTAGAACTTTCCAAGATCAGTTTTACAGCATATAGTCCATATCAATTGCTAGTACCTTCATAAAATACTGAAATAATAAAAAAGGAAATGGCAGGGGCAAAATCAAGGAAGACAAAGTTGACAATCCCTAACAGTAGATACATAAATTGACACTTAAAAAGTCTACTTGAAAATCTAATCAGACTGAAATAAAACATCAAACAAAAGAAGTTTGAATATCTTTTGTTGTTTTGATGTGCCAGAATTCTGGCATTTTCAAACCTTCCAACCTTTGTTAGTTGTGGCGTGAAAGTACAATTGATCACATCTGTTAGCAGGAAAAAGAAAAAGAAAGAATGGTTAGGCAAACCTTTTGGCCTCCGTTATTCAAAACCGGGCTGTACTTTTGTGTTGGTGTATTTTGTGCAGTCAAACGGTCCGACTCCTTGATTGTTTTTCTTTCTCACCTGAAAATAACATTCGTTTTTGCCAAAGGTTTAGGTCCCAGAACATATCTATGAAGAATGACTCGTACAATATTTATTAGCTGCTGAACTAATATCAAAATCATTGGTTCATATGAGTTAGCAACAATACCACTTTAATCATTATGCTTTTACAGCATACAAGGAAAAAATAAAGCACGTCAAGGTCAAGTTTAAACTCTTGGCTAGATATGGATTACATGTCAATTTCAAATATAGTCATTAAAAAAGAGGGATAACACTGAATAGCATTTGTAATCTTTTAAAGGAAGTTGAACTGTACCGGGGACCATGGACCAGGCTCTGGTAGAGATTTGTCCGTGGGCGAATTTTGTACAGCACCACTTTTCATTGTTAGAATTTCCTGAGTGACAGAAGAGGCATTATTATATATGGCTAAACACTTTTATTTGCCAAAAATGATTTTTTTTGTTTTGAGTTTACAGTTTAAGTAAATTTGTTTAGTTATTAAACAGACTGCTTAATAATACTCTTGATCATGATACTTCATTAAGAAAGCAATTTCATGTCTTAAACCTCACGAAATAAAAGGAAAAGGAATATGATAAGATTACCTCTCCAGCATCTTCAAATGCAGCTAACCAGTCATCTGAAAACGGAACAGCGTTCAAAGGGGGCTTTACTAAAGGAGCAAATTGCTTTTTGTCATTGCTAGTTTCCTCACTGCCATCAAACAAGCCACACTTGATCATCTTTCTGAAACTGACAACTTTAAAATTTTCAAAAAGCAAAGGGAAAAATGTGGATATAGATTGATCAAAGTAGGATGCTTACACCAAAGATGTACTACCCGTAGCTTCCACATGGGTCATTGATCTGTTTAATTCCTGTGACAAATCATTCTCCAATCTGTTGACTTCTTCCTGTAAGAAATTTCCATTTGAAGATATGTGATTTGTTTTGATTGAGGAGGTTGATTCCTCAGTCAAAGAGCAAAATGCTTGAGACTTGCATGTATTTTCTGCCCCAGAAACTTGATCTTCGCTCAGTGAAGACAACCCAACATTCGAAGAGGTTACTTGGCCACTTTGTTCATTGTCAGGCATGATCATATCATTACAACCATCATGGTTGTTATCTGACAGATTAATCTTGACATAACTAGATATTTCCTCAGTAACAGACGATCCAAATTTGCCTGGCTCTGGCATAACAGTGACAGCATTTTGAAGCTCTTGAGGTTTATTTAAATTCTCGACTACTGCAAAATTGTTATTTTCGGTTGAAGAGAAAAGGATAATTTTGCAGCTTTCAAATGAAATACCATCATTGAAGGACTGCGAGCATGCATCTTTGCTGAAGGATCCATCAGTCGTCTTATTATCTCCAGCAGCACACTCGTCACTTGGATCATCTGTTCGCACCTGAGACAGATCAGAAGGACCTTCCACTGCCTGTATAAAAGAACACATGTTTCTGGGACCCACGTGTGCACAATTGTCACAATCAAATTTCTGGGTCTTTCTCTCCGCAGAGAAAAGGTCATGACATGCCTCTAGAATCGGATTTTCTAGGAAGGTGTTGCCAGCATCAAGGGAGGACTGTATCGGCTCATCTTGGGCAATAATTTCACAATCATTTTGCATATCCATCAATGAGTTAGTAAGCATGCCTGTTGCATTAAAATGACAAGAAATGATGTTGTCTTCTGGGTCTGAAATGGCATCTACTAGGCCCAGGGGGGATATTGAATGGGAATCATCCATCTCTCTGGCATCCAGATTGCCACTTCTTTGAAAGTCATTGCTGACACCAACATCACAAGCAGTTATTGCTCCAGTTACTTGGTCTTCCTCGATCCTTTCTAATCCCTTAGATGAATTAGCTTCACAAAGGAGCTCAATGTCATGGTTGCACTGTGTCTCAGTAGAAACCGAAGCCTCATTCTCTGCATTTAAGCACTCAACCACCTCAGTCATCTCATGAACACAATTCTGCAGTGCGGGTGGAATCCTAGATGGAGCACTGGAATTTTCTAGTTCACTTTGACGGGCAACATTGTCAGAAGAGAAGATTTCTCCATGTAATAGGCAATCAGTTGAATGTGATCCATAATCATCCTGGAAAACTGTCTCTACTACAATGCATGGATCACGAAGTAGTGGCTGTTCAACTAGCATTTCATTCACACCATTTACATGTGCATGCAGATTTTCTGCTTCTGACGCATTCAGAAGATAACTGCTACTTTCAAGAGGTAAATTACATTCAAGAGATTCCTTTTGTGCATCTGCAACATGTGATTTCTGATTCAAATCAATAGCCCCAACAGTGCCATCTTTTCCTTGAATTCTGTCTCCATAATGCAATAGACCATTGGTCCTTTTCAAATCACTAGCATTGCAATCACTAATATTTGGACAGATACCTTTACTTGTCACACTGTTGAAACTAGGAAATTCTTCTGAAGGCTCACCTTCCTTGAGCAAGGCATCATCATTAATATGTTGTCTCTGAATCTCATTAGTTTTCTGATCATCTTCAAAGGTGCAAGGTTTTACATGTTCGTTTTCAGCTGGTTTGCTTGAACGTTCATAATTATCATGAATGCTTATCTGGTCAATGTTTACTATTGGAGAGCCATCTATGTTACTGCCATTCATTTTGCAAAAATGCAACTGTGGAAGGAGATCAAAATCTTCAGTCAATGAATTATTCTGTACATTTCTTGAAAGTTTGTTGCCAGCATCATCAGCCTTCAAGCCACTTTTTACCTGCAGGTCATGGTAAGAGACAAAATGGGGATCTTTGAATTCACTGCCGATGTGATTCAGACTTCTGGGGATAACAAGATTTTCCCTCTTCCAATCTAATTCCACTTGTTCGGAAGATTGACTTTGCAAGAGTAACTTGTTTTCACTGCACTGATATTCCACATGCTCAGTTTGCTGCTTAAGACTGCCGTCAATGGTCTGCAATTGCTGCTGATTATTAGTTAATTCATGATTGTAAGAATTACAAGAAACATTCACTTCCACCCTCTGCATTTTACTATCTCTTGAATTTGGTCTGACATCTTTGCATAAGGAACTAGCATTTGATGGAACAGAGGGTTTTGTGCTTGGAGTCCTTGAATTTTCAATTGCTGATACATCACTGGCCACTACGTGAACTTTCTTGGATGGAGCGGGGATCTCAAAAGTAGAATTTAAGACACCAAGCTTTGACAAATTAGGAATATTAGGCTTTGGGTTATAACATTTTTTAGTGCTGCTTTGTATATTCTGTGAAGCATTAGTCTTTGACTGCAAATGAAATCAATAATCAATAAGAGAAAGGGGAAAACCCCCACTGATGCTTCTAAAAGTTCCCGAGTACATCAAAATTTACTGTCTACATAAGCAAGGTTGACATACCTGAGTAAAAAATCCTAATGATGGCGAAGGCATCCGTAAGCCAGATGGTTTTGTCATTTGTGGCTGTGAATATTGAGTGTTTCCACCAATATGGCAATGACTTTGAGGAAGAGAAGAAATTTTGTTGACAACAGGTTCATGATTAATAGACCCATGACCAGAAGCGGCAACAGGATCTTGGTTGACCTTCAAGCCATTATCTGGCTTGGTAACTAATGGATGCTGTGATTGTGCTGATGAATGAGTTGCCAATGCTGAGCTTTTCTGTATAGAGAAAAAGATATATGGAAGATAAGAAGTAAGTTTTTCTTCGTTTCAAAAGGAACATAAATTGATAATCATCATTTAATTCCAAGAAATTTTCATAAACAATGACATCTAAAAGCTTAAGTCTCACCACATTTCTTTTAGGCTGTATAGCACACAATTTGCTAATTTGAGATCTACTAGAAAGACTAGATTTTGCATCATTTTGAGTACTTCTAGTACTTTTGTTGCAACTTGTCAACCCAATGCTTCTGTGGGCACTGACTGCTGTATGAGAAAAGAAACCACATAGACACAAATGTATGAAATTTCCTCTAACAATTGTGAAATATGAATTCAGACAAAAATGTGTATGTATCAGATTATGAAAATACAATAGAGCCATAGAGGGTGAAGAAGAAACAAAGATAAACATGATACAGCTAAACCATCAAATGTAGGTTAAACCCAAAAAAAATTAATTTAACATAAATATACAATAGAAGGAGTTGGTCCAAGAACAATTATATGCCCTGTTACCTGCTTGAACGCTTTGATTTCTCTTTTGTTTGTTTAAGTTCGGAGAACTCCTGGGAGTTGAGGAATCTGACTTTGGAGCAAGTAATTTAGAAATTTTTGGCTCCTTAACAGCTGTTTTTGTTGAGCTCACATTTGCAGGTCTTTTATGAGTGCAGAAAAGTCAAGGTAACCTCTTCAATAAATCCGAATAGATAAAGAAAACATGAAGAAAATAAGCATTCATATAAATAAGCCACTACTTAACAATTGACTAAAACAATAACTAGAAAGGATATGCAGAAGACATCAAAGGCCTTGGACATCCGCTACGCTTAGAACCACTTCTATTTACGTCATGAACTGAAAGCACATTTTGTTTCACCTGACCAAATTCATATTAGCAAAATTAAAAATTGCTTTCATCTCACAAAGAAAGAAATTGGAGCTACTTTTAAAGACATATACATTGGAGAAGGCCTAACTAACCACGGACCGAGAGGCTGAACCAGAACTCTTCTTCCGTAGGCTACTAATCGCAATCTTCTTTGCCTCTTCGTATTACTATTATTGCATGGCAACTCTTTAAACAAATTGTTTTCAAGTGCCTGCAAATCCGGTGAATCACTGGATAATAATTCTCCCGGTTCTTCTTCTATAGCCAACAATTTCCCACTACTCAACTTACTAGAATTCCCACTAATCAAAGATAATTCTGTTGAATTCAAAACACCTAATGCAAAACAAACAAATTACATAAAATAATTAACTTCTTTCAATTAACGAACCCAAATCAAAAAAAAAAAAGTAAGGAAATGAAAACTACCTTCTTCAGTGAAGAAAGCGCGATCCCAAGCTAAACTTTTTCTCAAATTATAACCTCCACCTTGCTTTTTCCTCTTCATTCTCTGTGGTTCTAAACTTAACTTTTGGAGTTCAGATTTATGCTCAGTATTGTCAATTCTCTTTATTAACGTTGGGAGAAAAGGAGGTAGGGTTTTTCGCTTTCACATCTGCAAAATGCAAAAGCAGGGCATTGAAATTTAGATCGAAATCTACCAAAAAAAAGAGTAAACAAACACTAGGGCAAGAGAACGCATAAAAAAGAAGAAGAAGGAAGTGACCTCTGGGATTAGATGTAGGGAAATGGAGAGGGGAGCAAGAGAAAAACGAAGGATTAAAGGTGGAAATGGCGTCCGTTAGGGTTTGCTGGTGCAGTAAAAGCAGGGAATCGGTGTCTTCCTGGGAGATCTCCAAGAGATCGCTCTCCATTACTGTCTGATTTTCTCAGTCGCGAGGAAATTAATGAGGCGATGTGATTATTGGATTTGGAGGGGTCTGCCAGAAGATTTGGGAGTTAAAAGTTTTCAACTGAAATTCTCAAAGCCTGTCGAATTTCAAACGAAGAACTTTGGACTTTCTTTCTTTTGAGTAAAATTTCGAATGGCGAGCGGGAAGGAGGATGACAGATGATCACGTGACTGGGCTTTATTTTAAATTACGTAAATGCCCATACATGTAAACGGCCCAGTCCACTTTTATCAATGGGTTGCGGTACTTCAAATAGGGTCCGAGTTTTATACATATTAATACGATAGACTATACTCCTGATGTTTCTGGATCGATTTGGTCTTTGGTCTTCGGTTCGATTATGACTCATCGTCCAAATTAAAAACGGTGAATCATTAACAACCGATGATACTATAATATATTAAAACAAATTTTCAATGAAGTTTTGATGGAATACAAATCATTACTTTAATTCAAGTTATATCATAATTTTTTATTTTAAAGAAAAGAGAAGCGTTGGTTCGGCTCTCACCTCTTTATCTATCTCCATGGCTATGGCTATTAAGAAATATATTTTGGGGAATATTTTTAAATTAAAATTTATGTTTTCTCAGCGTGCAACTCAATCATATCGTATATTATTGTATTTTCTCTTTATATCTTTCAAAAGTATTATTTATAAATTAAAGTTTCTTGATTGGTGAGCAAATATTTAAGAAAGATTTATATATATTTGTCACTTTGACGTGTTATTTCTAAAATGGGAAAGTAATTAATATTACTTCAAACCAAAACAGAATCTGAATTAACAGTAAAAATATAATATTTAATAAGTATGTCAGTAACATTAATTGCTCTAACCTAGTCGTATATATTAGTCATCCAAACTTATATATATAAACCTCATCCAGGCCAGTAATATTGTTTCTCACTTAAAACATAATTGCCTCTTCTTTCTCTTTTCTTTCTTGAATTTTGCTTTCTTTGCTTCGTTGCCTTCAACAGGGCATCGCCAGGTACATGTTTTGTCTGAATATTCGGTTGTACTCCATGAGAAGTAATATTCCTTGTGTTATTTCTTCTTCTTTTTTTATTTCGGATTGACCCTCAAATTTCTCACTAATTCATGCTGACATCCTTTAAGTTTCTGTAATTGTTTCAATTTGGGCTAAAGTTTTCACTTTTGGGGGGTTGAATTATAATAATAATGCAGGAGATGGGGAACCCTTCAAAAGGACAGGCAAGGCCAGAACCAGAAGAGGCAGTCAAGTGTCCGAGATGTGAGTCCGGCGACACCAAGTTTTGTTATTACAACAACAACAGCCAGTCTCAGCCAAGGTATTTGTGCAAGTCTTGTAGGAGGTTTTGGACCAAAGGTGGCACTCTCAGGAATGTTCCAGTCGGTGGCGGCTGTAGGAAAAACAAGAAATCTTCTTCTTCTTCTTCTTCTTCTTCTTCTTCTTCTTCATCACCATCAAAGAGAATCCAAGATCAAACATTGAAACCCAATACCAACCCTCTGATCAATACCAACCCCATTGACACCACCAATGATCTCACCTTAAACTTTGCTAGGCTCCAACAACAATACGACCATCATGATTCCGACCACCTTTCTTGTCTTGGAAACCCTAGCCTTAACGTTGCTGGTTCAGTAGCCGACCCTGTCTTCCTTGGAAACTTCAACGGTTTTCAGGGTCTAGCATATGGGTTTGGGAATGACACCTTTGGGGAGGTTGTTAACGGTGTGGGTTTTAATGGGGAAACCATGATTCTTTACAATAATGAAGATATGATTGATTCAACACTAATGACGACCACGACAACAACAACATCGGATGTTACAGTTGCGACAATGAAACAAGACGGTCCTGAGAATGGATCAGACTTATGGGATTTGCCGTGGCAACTCATTGAAGATGATGGTAATAATAACTACAACAACAGGGCGGTGGGTTGTGATCTTGATTCAGTAATAGATAACTGGTATGGAGCCATCTAATGTAGACAAAGGCATAGACTTCTTTCATAGTACTTAAGTTTTTAACCATAAATCTGAATTATTACCCATTTTTCCTTTGATATTTCAAATTTATTTTGTTAACCAAGTCAAGGCAATTAAATATAATATATTGTTATTGTACGACTGTATATAACGATAATTGTCTCATCTATAATGATCGTAATAACATTTACATTATCTACAACCTAAAATCATTATCGTACAATCATAATAAATATAATATAACCTAAAACGCGATCGCAATTGTAATTTAAATTTTATAGTTTGAATTTTAATGAACACGAAACCACTAATTTTGGGGTGGATTTTTGTTAATTCTCTTACCAAAACCGAATCTAAATGAAGATATGAGTTTTGTTGAAGCATAAGAGCGCGAGCATGTAAGAAAATCTTTGTTCGAGCTTTCCAATTCATGCTTATTGTTCAATAAATACTCATATTAACCATGCTGAGTGATAGCCTTTGAACTAGTCTAGTCTAAACCAAACGAATAATTAATGAATTTTCGTGTGACCGTGTATTAATTAAAAAAAAGATATTGGATGAGAAAATATTAAAACTAAAGGATGGATAGTTGATAATAGTGAATCATACCTTCCAAACCTTAAGAGCAAAGGATTTGTTGAAGAGTAATGAATTTGTTAGCACTTATTGAAATCAAAGTAATTAAGAATTTTGACCGTGTCGTGAATGAAATATTGTCTTTGAAACAAAATCGTTCTGATTAGTGTAAACTTTAAATTGGACACTGCCACCTGAGATTAATACGATCCTACATATATTATACACCAAAGTGGAAATCATAGGTATTGCTCTTCTCGAAATAGGAGGAGTTTCTCTTAATTTATTAGGAAAAAATCAATCAATAAATAAGAGAGAAAGCTCAAAACATTACGAGATAATGAGAGGTTTTGATTGTTTTGTTGTTTATTAAACGGAAGAAGGGTCTCTATATTTATAGGCTTAGTGGCTGAGTTGAGCAAAAAGAGTAAAAATATGTAAGTAATCATATTAAATGAGTTGTTCAGACATTTAACATTGAATTACGTTGTGATCGATTGTCTTGAATTACAAGCATAAATCTTGTAGTCAATAAATTAGACTAAAAACTCTTTAATAAACAACTATAAAACGAATTATCCGATATATTAACCGACTAATCCAGATCGGGTATTGTAGAGGCAAGGGCGACCGTATTTGAACCTCTGACATTACTTAAAGGACCTAGTGTCTCATCCCACTAGACCAACTAGTTGTTGGTTGAAATACATGATTAATCTCCCATAAATTTATTAAAAAATCGAATAGAATTTATCTCTAAAATTTAATGACGAGATTTACGATGTACGAGAGCTTAGTCTAAAAAAAACAAGAAAATCGACTTTGTCATAACTTTAACAAAGCGATTAGATCCTAAACTTTCATCTAATACTAAGTTATTAATCTCCTTCAACTTCTCCTTCTTTGGAGCCAGTAGTTTAGAGTTGGAAGAGTTTAATTCAATGGGACCTTATATATTTTCATAACATATAGAGTTTCAATGCTTCAGGAATTATTAAAGCATCAATCGTCATGTCCAGAGAGCCTCAGGCTCCCATAATGACTCTAAGTTGTTGTCTTCCAAGAAACTTGGGCTGTTACGGATGAAATCGTCGATGGATTTCAGGGAAGTCGATTGAGGTGATGGCGGAGGCTGCGCCACCTCCATGCAAAGTAAGGCCACAAGGTTGGCTTTCTGCAACTGCATGTTGACCACTTCAGCTTGAGCTTTGGCTAGTTGTGCTTGAAGATCATTGACTTGCTTTTGCAGTTGACAAATCGCTCCGGCGCAACCATAAACCGGGTCTCGGATTCTCGCACTAGCCTCGTACACCATGCTGCTCACTGCATCAGCCCTTTGAGACTCCGGAAGTTCCTGAGAATTAGGTAATATAAGAACATAATTGAAAAAAAATGAGTATTATTATAAATTTTCTTAAATATATAAGAATAATTATATTATTATCTCGGATCAGATTTTTTTCACCTTAAACTTGAATCTAACCTTATTCGACTACGTCTTTAAAAAACCGACTTAAATTTAAATTTTTATAGAAGATCTAGTCGGATTGGATCGGAAGCTGTCCGATCCGGGTGAAATGGCCATCCTTAGATCCTTTCCACATGCAATGTCTTTGACTACGTCGATAAAATGTTGTTTAAAACGCAATAAGCACCCAAAGGGGGAGGTGGGGGCCTGGGGGAACCCATTATTAATAAATATTTTTGGCCACGTTTGTCAACGCATGAACCCGACGCTACTATTTTACCGTTATTTTCACACACTCGGGGTTTACAAAGGAAGATTGAACAAAAAACTATACCTGCAAGAACTTGATTATGTTGCTAGCACCAAACACCCGATGAGCTATGGTAAACTTGATCGGTTCAGTAGGAGGAAAATAAGGTGCCAACACACATTTGTCAGCACATCTGCGCCTTAGAATCTTGCAAGCGGCACAAGGGCTAATAACAACCGGTGGGGACGTCGGAGGAGAAGATGTTGAACTCGAAAGAGATTGAGCAGCAGCAGGAGTTGCTGCTACTTCACTTTGTTCCATCTTAAACATGGGTTTTTAGGGTACAAAGTGAGATGGATGACGACGACGACGATGTGGGGGTTTGTTTGTGCATAGGAAGGGTGTTATTTTTATAGTAGAAGAGTGAGATCATATAGTACGAAACATGACATCATTTGTTCAAACATATATCTCTTTTAGACTTTTGTCCATTTGCCAAATTCTTCAATTAGTTTCGTTAGGTTTATGACTTTACATTGTCTTTTGGCTTTATTCAATGATAAACGGACAATAAATTTGCTTTGGAAAAATTAGGTGTGGGAAAGAAAGCATTTCAAAACTCATATAACATAGTGATTTTAAAAATTAAAATAATAAGATGAATCTATCAAACGATATCAATAGTTAAAAGAAATATTATTATTTTTTTCAAAAATATTAAGTTTAAATAATTAAGTCTATAAAATTTTAAATAATTTTAATTGGTTAAATTATTGAGAGTGAAAATTTAAAAAAATAACGAATCCAAATATCAATAAGATGTCATCTAATTCCTTTCACATTTATTTTTCCATAAGCAAACCATTTCAATCTTTTATTTTATTTTATTTTATTTTTATAAAATTCTATATCGACTGTCTAACACTTACGGGTAAAATAATATTAAATTTCTAGAAATGTTTTACAATTGCAATGTCAAAACTAATGTTAATGAATTAATCTAGATTTTCAAATAATTATGTATTGTATATTAAATTAATATAATTATTATGAAAAATGAAACCCTTGTGGTCCACACATAACTACTTCTTGATGGCCAGCCTTAGCAAAAAGGACACGTACACAAGTCATTGAAAATAATCAGTTGTGGGTTTAATTCATAATTAGGGTTGCTGTTGCCACCTCCCACAGAAACCCACAATGTCTATATCTACCATCATGGATAGATGAAAAAGGAGCAAGGATTTACATCGTCTTTTAAAAATTTTAAATTAATATATATTTTAATTTTTTTTTTAATTTTTAATTGATACTTTATTTTTACTCCTTAAAATTTTATAAGTATATATCCTCTTAAAATTTTAAAAATCCACCTCAAACATAAAACCATATGTACGTTCTTATCTACCAGTTAATGGTTCCCCACTTTGGATACCACATTGGATAACAAGTCTCAAGCTACCATCGTATTAAAACATATGTTATCCTATTAATTATAATAGATTATATGATAACTTTTTTTTAATAGTTTTGGGTGATTATAAGATAGTATTTGTTTAGAATTTTCTTAATCAATTGACAACATACATATATCCTGCAGATGTAACTGCTCGAACTAAGGACCTCTAGAAATAATAATATTTTCTTTTATCATTAAGACCACTTGATGAGTTTCATACGATAATAACTTTTAAAATGTTACTTTTATAGAAAATTGTCTTATACATATGTTGAGTGAATTTTAGTTTATATAAGATAGTATATGTTCGTAATCTTCTTAGTTATTAACAGTGCACACACCCCCTGAAAATTCAGCTACTTGAACCCGAATCTTTTAAGAAGAATAATCTTTCCTTTTTATCACTAAAACCAATGTATAATTCTTGACTTTAAAAATTAAATGATATAAATTTTGGTTTACAATATCAATATATATTAGACATCTTAACGTTGTGGTGTGAAGTAGGTTAGGATTGGCCAATATTCTTGACATTGCTCTTCTCCACTACTCCCACTGCTAGTGTCATCAAAGAGGCATTCGCCGCGTGTACCTTTGATTTTGGTTTTATTCATGGGGAACAAATTAAATAGATTAGTCATTCATACCCAACTAGTGTTCAAATTGATCACCACGAACTCTAAAAATTCAAAAAAGTAAATGATTTTTTCTTCAAATATATATATTTTAAATTTAAATAATTGAATATATAATAAATCTACTAATTGATCGAGTGAATAGAAATGCTCATGTTGTTTTATCTTGAGTAAATTCAAATCCTTCCAATTACCTTAATAATAGAACACCTCTCTTTAATAAAATAAAAAAAGATTTTTTATCCTTCGTACATTGATGATAAACCCAAGTTGTGTGCACCGAATAAATGGTGCGTGGCTCTCGTGAAATCAACCCCCCAACAAAAGCTAGTGGAAATCTCATAAACCCTTTCACATGGGCATGGCTTTTAACATACACGTATCCCACATCTCAACTCAGCCGAACATTCATAATTTCTGGTTATTAAACATTTAAAAAGGCCCACACGGTTTAGGCCAGTGGGTGTGTTGGTTTCGTCAAATTTTTCCCACACAATCACTGACTACTACAGCTAAATGCAATCGAAAGACTTTGAAATCGTGGGATACAAGCACAAATAGTATTCTGAATATTGTCATTTATGCTTTATAAGTCTTGAAAATGGATGAAGAGCAGTGAAGTCGACAGAAATGGTCCATCTTAAGCAGTAAAAAAAATCACCATTTTTCAGTGTTCAAGAAGGTGAAGTTTTTTTATGGAATGTGTAGATGAGAGCAAACGAGTTTATGGAATTTGGAATAGGCTTGTAAATGAACTGAACGTTCAGCGAACCGTTCATGAACCGTGCGGCGGGAAGTTCGTTTATGTGCGTTTATTTATTAAATGAACGAACATGAACAATATTTTGTGTTCGTTTAATTAAATGAACGAACATGAACATAGGTCTCGTTCGTTCATTTACGTTCGTGAACGTTCAGTTATGTTCGTTTGGTTATGTTCGTTCGGTTATGTTCGTTTATGTTCATTCATTTATGTTTAACCCAATCTTCTTAAATCAATTTTGGTGACCAATTTGTAAGTATCTTAAAAATATTAATTAATATGATATGCTGATGACCAACTCCATAATTAACCCAATTTTATTTGGAAAACCCAACAATATTAACATGGTTAAGTTCTTTTTTAACGATCCATAAGATGCATACCCAGCATCGTCAACATCCACTGCGCCGGAACCTTATGTGACTGTGCCACCTGCTGGTTATCGGATGAGCAAAGAGGAGTCCCAGAAACCTGTTGCTTTCGAAACCAAGTTCAAAGGTGATGGATTTCGGAAGGGATGTTAAGTATTAAGTACCGTTTCTTCTACTCAAATAATCTTCTTTTCTTTCATATATAATGGAGTATTCGATTTTACAAGTAAATAGTGATCAATCAACAACTCAAGTCAGCTTACTTTGAACTCAAGAACCCACTAATGGTGAGGCCTTATTCCATAGGTTGAGAAGTTCTTTAACGCGTTTCATCAAACAAATTTTGTGCGCCATCCGGATATGGAAGTTTAGCCAGCCGAGAAAGAATGGTTTTTGATGTATGAGTTGGTGTGAACAATAAACCAACCTACTTCTCTCATCTCCCAATTTTCAACTTCTACATAGCACGAAGCTAAGGACATGTTTGTTTGATCCCCAAGGATTAAGGTCAGCAATCACATGAAACACAATCTGTGTTCATCTCGACTGTTGTTGAAGGAGAGAGGAAGAAAGAAAGTGGAGGAACGTTATGCAATCCCACATCAGTAGCAAACAAGCAGCTCGAGGTTGGTAAGTTATATAAAAGAAGATGGGGAGAATAGGTTTAAGCATCTTTGTGCTTGGGGCAATGTCGAACTTGAATCAAGCTCAAAATCGAGCTTCAATCGAGCTCGAGTCTAGAATTTTAATCGAGCTCTTAATTTTTTTTTTGAGTTTGAGTCTTTTCGAGTTCGAGTTGAGTTTCAATATTATATTTCGAGTTCGAGTCGAGATTGATAATTTTAAGCTCGCGAGTTTTCGAGTCGAGTCGAGCTGACTTTGAAAGTTTTCGAGTTTGAGTCGAGCTCAACAATACTCGAGCTCGACTCGTTGACACCCCTAGGTAGGGTCTCCAATGTTTATGTTCGTGTTCGTTTATGTTCGTGTTCGTTTATTTATTAAATGAACGAATATGAACAAGTTATATTCCTTAATAAACGAACATGAACAAAAAAAAATTTGTTTGTTTATTTATTAAATGAACGAACATAAACATATCTCCGTTCATGTGCGTTCGGTTCGTTTACAGGCCTAATTTGGAAGGTAGGAACACAAGAATGAACAACGTAACTATTCGCTCTGTTATTCACACACACACCACCTTTTGAAAATCTTAGTTTCTAGATGCGATAAGCTACTATGAATAAAAATTGAATGGAATCTGAATGTTGTTTCTAGTCTAACCCTTTAATGAGGGGCATTATTATATTAAATGGAAGGTCAAAGAGTATGTCCCATGGTAGATGACTAAAACCAACCTACTTATGGTGACCTTAACTGCCTTTAAATTCAGAAAACGACTTCCATTTACTCTTGAAGGGCATGATATTGCTTATATTTATGATATGATCATTGTATTAATGATATACTATTGGGTTTCTGAAGCTTAATGTCCATATATTTTCATTTGCAAGTTGGTATATTTTATTTGTTTGTGGAGCACTATTATTGTAAGATCCCAACATATGTTTTCAGGGTACAACTCTGAATATTGTAGTGGGTATATGTATCCATAAGACCTTTAGTACTTGTATTCGGTATGTGAACCCTTGGTACGTATGTTTTGAAATTGTTTTATAAACTATCATTACGAAGCTTCAGAATTGTAAACTCTTTTGAAATGCTTTATATATAAAATGGATGGATTATTTTATGATGATTTCATATTACAATGTTTTAAAGAATTTTTTTTAGTAGTGGTCGTTTATAATGTGTTTTTGTTTCATAATTTCTTTTCCTAATAAAATTTTAGCGAAATTACATATTTTAAATACTATTAATGTGAATGTACTTTGACCTTTCATATCTATTTTATTCTTTTAATTCTAATCCTAAAAATAATGGTTTTATAAAACTTAAATAATGCAAACAATAGAAAAATATCTACTAACAGATAGTATATTTTATCACAGTTATTCTTAATATTTTATTTAAGTGGGTTGAGTATGTTGTAACATTTAAATAATGGGATGAATTTAAATTTGATAATAGTAATATGTATCAAATTAAGTAATTAGGTACCAATAGGGATCGATTCAAGGAGTAAGTAGTTTGATATCGTTTAAGCAATATATCGAACTTGAGTCATTATATATGTAGAAATCTTTTGTTAGAAAATTCACTCATCAAAATTAGATATACTACGTGAGTCGGTCCAAATAAAATAAAACAATTAAGGAATTAGTGGGAGCAGGAGTTGGACCACGTGAGCACTTAGGATATGGTGGCATTCCTCAAATCTGACACCAATCATGTGCTCTTTGGGTGATCACCTTGTTTTGTGCTCCATTCATTTTTCCCTTTTCGATTATTTTATGATCATTTGTACGTTTTAAAACGGCTTAATATAAAATATGTAAGTGTCTAAATTAAAATTTAAATGTATACATTATATTTTTTAATTTAAATGTCTAATTTTTCGGTCAATATATATGTTTAATGTTACCATTTTAAATGTTTATGTCGTGATAATCGTAAAAAAATATTATCTAATGCATATTATATTTCTATTTTTTTAAAATTAAAATAATTTTTTTATTTAAAAAAATTAAATAAAAATTTCGCTCCCTCACCCCTCCCTAAAACTAACTATTTTAACAATTGAAAGAATGAAAGCAAATGAAAATGCGGCAATCTATTTTAGATTAAGGGCAGCCGACGATTACTTTTCATTATTGTGATTTCAAGGATCAAAGACTTAAATTTAAAGATATGAGGATTTAGGATTTAAGAAGATAAAAAGGGTGATGGTAAGTTAACGAGTGATTGACGACAAATGGATGATCGTTCATCGATAGATGGATGGTCGGAGATGACTGACAGTAGTAAAAAGAATTAGAGTAAAAGATTTTAAGAAATTGGTTTCTTTTAGGTTTTAAAATATTTTAAGGTTTTAAACAATAATTTTATTAAATAAAATTTTCAAAAAAATATACATGAAACACGAGTTAGATAATGATTTTTTTAACGATCTTGGCATACCAAAAATTTAAAATGATAACATTTATAACGTTAGATACTTACATTATAGCCAAATGAATAAATACAACCTACACAGATACAACAAATGTTATATTTCTTTCAGAAAAGAAAAGAGACTTTGAATTTATTGAGTGATTTTAATGGTAAAGAAGTGTATTATTCTCTATAAAAGTATTGAGTTCGAGTAACTGTGTTTGCATGATATGTATACGTTATTAATAAACGAAAAAATTGTCCGAACAGACACTACCGAAAAGATTATTAAAATGATGCTACATTATTATATAATTACTTATAAAATAAGATGAAAGTTGGTTTCTTATAGGGCTATACTTGGATTCAAACCGAGGATGTCCATAACAAGCCCACGACATAAATATGAAATTTAAATATATGAAAACTTTATTGCATATAAAAGTAATATTAGGGATGGACATAAGTCGGATTTCGGTCAACTCGATCCGGTCCAAAAATTTTATATTCTTCACCCGACTCGAAAAATATATACATTCCACCGACCCGATTTTTTTAAATAAAATATGAACTCGATTCGGCCATACCTGAATTAATAAAAAATATTATTTGTATTTAATAAAAATAGTGATTTAATTGAAAAAAATATATAGAGTGACATTATTGTAATTATTCCTAAATATATAAGGTAAAATTATTTTTTTTGGATCGGATCGGGTCGGGTATTTTTCACCATAAACCAGAACCCGATCCGACCTGAACATCACCTTTAAAAAACCCGACCTGAACCTGATTTTTTTATAAAAGACCCGTCGAGTTCGGGTCTCATGCCCATCCCTAAGTAATACAATATAATATTATTAACAATTTAATTTATAAAATTAAAATTTTAATAAATATTATTTTTTTGAATTACTTACAAATTACGAGCTTTTCAAATTAAATATCAAATAATATACTTTAGTTTATTAAAATTTTAAATCGAATTCAAACTCAAAATAAATCCATTCAAATAGATTATTAATTAAAATTTAACTAAATTAAATTTAAACAACTTCTCGTATCACTTACAACCCAAATAAAAAATTTCTATCTTTGAAATTAAAAGGAAGTTGAGGCTTTCACCAATGGAAACCTACTTGTTATTGGGGATGGACAATTTTAAAAAAATAAGTTCGGGTCGGAATTTTAACCCTACTCGACTCAATTTGATAGGGTCAAAATTTAAAAAAAATAAGTTCGGGTAAGGTTCGGTCCGTGTTTATAATAAAAATAACTTACTTGATCTAACCCGAAAATAATATAATTATATTATATATATTTAAGAAAAATTGTAACAATGTCTCTTTTTATATTATTTATTTTGAATTAAGTCTATATTTTATTAAATAAAATTAATAATTTTATATTATTAGAGTCGAATCATATTTTATCTCAAAAGTTAGATTAAATTTGAGATTAAATAAAAGTATTTTAAATTCAAGTCAAATTAAATTTGATTGGGATGATATAAAATTTTCAGATGAGATTGACATGAAACCCAACCCACGTCCATCGT